AAAACATTCCTGTTGAAGAAACAAAAGAAGTTATTCAAAATTATCAAGAAATACCAGAGGATTGGCCAAAAGAAGGAAAGATTGAATTAAAGGGATATCAATTTAGATATCGTGAAGGATTACCATTAGTTTTAAAAGGAGTAGATGCTGTTATCAATGATAAAGAAAAAATAGGTATTGTTGGAAGAACAGGAAGTGGAAAATCAACAATGATGGCAGGATTGTTTAGAATTGAAGAACCTGCAGGTGGGTCAATTCTTGTTGATGGAATTGATACTACAACAATTCCTATGCATACATTAAGATCAAGAATGTGTATTTTACCACAAGAAGCAACTATGTTTAGTGGAACAATTAGAGAAAATCTTGATCCTACATTCCAAAAGAGTGATGAAGAAATGAAACATGTATTAGAATTGGTTAATGTAAATAAAGAATTGGATTATATAGTTACAGAAAATGGAGAAAATTTCTCACTTGGAGAACGTCAAATGATTTGTATGGCAAGAGCATTATTAAAGGGAGCTAAAATATTAATTATGGATGAAGCAACTGCATCAATTGATATTCAAACAGATATTATGATTCAAGAAATGGTTAGAAAGAATTTCAAAAAATGTACAACATTAACTATTGCACATAGACTACATTCAATCATGGATTCTAATCGAGTTATGGTATTTGATGATGGTCATTTAATGGAAATGGATACTCCAATTAATTTGATTGAACAAGAAACAACAATCTTCAATAATTTGGTCCAACAATCAGGATGTGCTGAAGAACTTAAACGATTAGCAAAAGGAGAAGCATCTATTGCTGAAACATTAAAAGCTGAAGATGAAAAAAAGAAAAAACAAGAAAATGAATCATCAGACTCAACTGAAAAGCCAACAGAGTTGATTGACTTAAATACACCATCTGCAAGTCCAATGCCACTTGATGGAACAGTAACCAATAAAGATAAATCCCCATTACTCAATTTAAATACACCAACAGTAAGTCCATTACCACAACATGTAAACGATAAGAGTGAATCGGTAAGTGAAGGTAGTAACAATTCTTCATCAGAATAAATTGATTGGTTTTGTTTTAATTAATGGTTTATGATAAAAATAAATGCAATTTCTAAAGAATATTCATTCTTTTGTTTTTTGTATCATGTTCTTATTGATTACTTACTTTGTTTTATTATTGACGGAAGAAAATAAAACAAATACATACTGACTCTAATAAAATATTTCCAATTAATGATAAAGTAAAACAAAAATATGATAAAAATACTTAATAACATGTGTTTATTCTTGTTGAATTATTTTAATAGACAAATATCGAAAAATAACACTTTAATTAACTTTTATATGAAAATGAATAACTTTTTAGTAAGGACAATGTTGATGGTAAATATCTTAACTAGTCAATACCAAGTATTAATAAAATAAAAAGATTAAAAGATAATTATGAAATACATTATTTGTGATTCACTACTAGTTAAACTTGTATTGGATTATTTTGAAAATTAACTTATTTGACACAGAAAAGAAATGTAATAAATTGTTTACTATTCATTTAATCTATGTGAGCATATTCTAAAATGAAGATTACTTATAAACTCTGATAATCTATTATATAAACTTTTACATCTTATTTTTAAAATAAACTTACAAATAAGTATCTTCAATAAATATTACTTTCATTTAAAGGAAAGAAAACAAAAGTAAAATACTAACTTTTAGTTATACTTTACCACTTTCTTTAATGTTTTTCATTTAATTGGTTTTAAATTCCTTATTGTATGAATGTATCCATAAAACACCCTTAAGTTTAGTTAATTTAAATGAACCTTATAACAATCTAAATAAACATACCTACTTTAATACAGTTGCAATATCTCTAAAGTATTATTTTTTCTTTTTTCAACTTCTTTTTCTTCAAAACTCTATTCTTTTATTTAAACCAAAGCCATCTGTATTATTTCTCTTTCAGTTATTTAAGTATTTTTTTATTAGTCTTAAAAATACTCCAATCATTCCCTCTAGCCTTCACATACTAACCCATACAAAATTTGAACTTTTGTCTTTACTTGTACAGATTTGTCTTTAAAAATAATTAATTCATTGTCTCTCAATAACACACCCTTTATTTTGAATTTATTATCTTATCAATTTTATTACTCGATTTTGTGAGTTAATTCTATGACTTATATAAATGAGTTCAACACTTTTTGCTAGCAGTTATTGTTACAGCACTACACAAACAGTTTCGTTTCAAATTGAAAAACAAAGAGAGTGATAATAGTCCTATTTTATTTACTATTGAAAAAGGAGAATGAAATTCATTATATTTAATACAAAAATATCAGACTTGGATTTGTCATCCTTACTCAGGAGTAGCAAATAACTAATCATCACTTATATTTTTTATTTTAACAATAGAATATTAACAAAATCAGTTTTCCATTAATTTGATTATGGTTTATTAGTAAAAAATAAATTTTAATTAATAAACTAAAATGTTCCAATCAAAAAACTTAAATTAAATATTAACTCTTATTTAATCATCAAACCTTATATGCTTTCCAGTATCTTCAGTATTATCATTTGACTTTCGTTTAAACCCACCTTCAGTATTTTCTGGACAGTCCACACTCTTATGACCTACTTGTCCACATTTATAACATGTAACTTGGTCGGAACTTTCTGGAACTTCTTGTTCAGGACAATTTTTTCCAATGTGCCCTAGCTTACCACAATGGAAACAAACTTTATCGTCTGGTTGAGAACAGTCTCTTCCAATATGTCCTGGTTTTCCACATTTAAAACATACTTTTTGAATAGACTTATTTAAAGATGCAGTTTCAGGAGTACTTGTGTCTCCATGTCTATATCCTTTCTTTTTTGTATTTGCATATTCAAGATAAACAGCTCTTCCTTCAAATTCTTTACCAGTCATCTCATCAATACATCTTTGTGCCTCGTTAACATTAAAAAAGTCAAGATATCCAAACCCTCTTGACTCACTTTTTCCTTTAAATGTAATAATTCTACACTTGGCAATATTATAATCTCCAAACTCCTCTCTAAATTTCCTTGTATTCCATTGTTTAGGAATTCCTTGAACACAAACACTAATATACTTCTTCCCCTCATCCTTCTTTTGTTTATCCTTTTCTTCTTGTTTTACTGTTTTTTTATTTCTCTTTAATACCTCTTCTTCTTGAGGTTCTTCTTTTTTAATTTCTTTTTTTTGTGTTTTTTCTTCTTCTTTTATCTCTTCTTTCTTTTTATCATTTACTAATTCTTCTTGTTCTTCTTCATGACATTCTTCTTTTTTTACTTGTTCTTCTTTTACTTGTTCTTCTTTTACTTGTTCTTTTTTTACTTGTTCTTCTTTTTTATCATTTACTGACTCTTCTTTTTCATTTTTTTCTTGTTCTTTTTCATCTTTTGCTATTTCTTCTTTAGTGTCTTCTTCCATTTTAGTAACTTCAGTAGTATTTTTTTCTTTTTGCTCTTCTTCTTTATCATTGTCTTTTTCTTTTTTCTTTTCCTTTTTATCTTTTTTCTTTTCCTTTTTATCTTTTTTACTATGTTTATGTTCTTCTTTCTTTTCTTTTTCTTCTTTAATTTCAGGTTTAGCTATTTCATGTTTTTCGTAAGAAGATTCCGAATCAGACTCAGTATCAGAAACATCAATAACCTTGAAATTTTTTGGAGTCTTTAAAGACATTAGTATTGTTTTAATCAAAAAAAGATTACTAGGGTTTATAAACCAAAATATAAAATAAATTATATATTTGTGTTATTTATTTTTCATCATCATTAGCTTTGTATAAAATAACAGACATGCATTGATTTTGTTTTACCAATACCCAAAAACAACAGCTAATGTAATAAAACAATTAGTCTAATATTTTGTCTTTAAAACCTTTGTTTTTTACTGATAATTGTACTAAAAATAACTAAACTAAATGAGAATTATCCAATTCTAAATTTGGTCATTACATTGATTAGATTTTAGACTCTTATATTCATTATCTAGAACCTCCATTCTTTATAAATTTTAAAATATCTTTATTAAAATATTCAAACTATTTAATATAATTTTGTTGTAAAATGAAAACTTATTACTTAGTTTAGAGAAGAGTATTATTAATTAAGAAAACAAAAATACAAGAATAAAAGATAATTATTATAATATTTTTATTGTTTCAGTTAACAAGACTGTAAAAATATTATAGAGAATATAAATAAATAATTGAATTTGTTTATGAATTACTCCAGTTAATAGTCAATTAAAAAGAATTTATCAACAAGTAATTTTTCCTTTGAAGATGTTTAGTAATAGATAGTTTCATAAAGAAAAATGCAAAAGTCTATTCAAATATTAATAAACAAAAAAAAGAAGAGATTAAAATATAAGAAAGTATAATTTGATATAACAACCTTTTTTACTCTGAAAAAAAAAGAATTCAATAGTTCAAAAATGAATGTATTTTCTAGTTGGATAGTCATTGTCTTAAATAATCTTTTAGAAAACAATTTAAAAAAAAATTAATTTGAAAGTGAATTATTCATCTTTTTCTTTTATAAATTTTTTAGCTCGATTCTTTCGTTCTTTCCAAGTTGTTTGAATAAAATCAAACAACTCAGGTGGTTTTGGAAGTTCTATTAAAGACCACATCATAGGAGCTCTCATAGCTATATCTCCTATTGTTTCTTTTGATGCCACTTGAGACATTCCAACTTCAGTACCATAATAAATATACATAGGTCCATCATCACTTGAAATGAAATTTAAGGCATGTTTAACTTTATTAATATCTCCATTCATCATAAACATAATTCTATCCATATCATGATTGTCAACAAACAATCCTCCTAAAAAGTTTCTTGGATATAACCACTTTCTTAACCATAATAAAAACTTAAATAAAAACTCTGGTACATACTTAAATCTTCCTTTACCTGATAGATATTCCCTTATTAGCATACACCCTCTAATATCTAATACCCCATCTAATATTGGGATGTACATCATCTGAGCTAATTCTTGACAAATACCATCAAACCCAATTTTTGATAACCACCACAACAATCCTTTCATTGGAGTTTCAATGGTTTGTAAAATTCTTCTTTCACAACCACCAAACCAAACTTCTCCAATTAATAATGGAACACGTCTTTTTAATTCTTTTGCTTTTTCTTGTAATACTTTTCTTACTTCTTTAAAAAAGGAATTTGGGATTCCGATTGCATGGTCAATCCTAAAGTCATCAGCTCCTAATTCATAAAATTCAACAAATGCATTCAATAATGATTGTTTTACTTCTGTGTCATTATGATTGACTTTCCATAATTCGTTATACCCCAAAAAATGCATTGGATTACCATCTGGATACCATCTAAATCGTTCAGTTCTAATCCCTTTCATTGCTTCTTCAACCCAAGGATGATAACAACTAACATGATTAGGTACTATATCAAGAAGAATAGAAATATTATTTTGATGTGCTACTTTACAAAGTTGTTTAAAATCATTTTTTGTTCCAAACCGAGGATCAACGTCATTAAAGTCAATAATATGATATCCATGATATGGCATATACTCTGTTACAATTGCATGATTTTTATATATTGGAGATAAAAAAATTGTAGAACATCCTAATTCTTTCAAATAATTCATTCTACTAGTAATTCCTTTTAATGTCCCTCCAAGAAATTGATTTGAATTTTCTTTGGTTTCTAAACTTTGGTTTTCACCACTAAAACGATCAACAAGAATATGATAAATATTCCCATAATAAAAAGGATGATACAAAGAAATCATTGGTAAATGAAATAAAGTTTTTCAGTCAGTAAATAAAAATACTTTTTTTTCGTTAAAAAAAAAAACGAAAAATGAAAAAAAAGAAGAGATGTGAAACTTTTCTTATTTCAAAGTCTTTTAAAGTAATGCTTCCACCTCAACAAAAGAAAAAGAAGTCATTCACTAGTTTTGTTAATGCATGTTCGTATAACCTTTCTTCTCATTTATATAATTCTGTTGTCAAATCTCAATTTAAGCCATTTACATTTAATTTAAAATACGTATTACAAGGAGTTACTTATACTGAACAACCTACATCAAATAATAATATTGCTAAACACCTTTCAACTTTGTTTCGAATCACTTATAGAAATGGCTTTACTTACCATTTACCTCACTGTAGTTTGACAACAGATGCTGGATGGGGATGTACATTAAGGTCTATCCAAATGTTGTTTCTTAATTCATTAATAAGACTACAAGAACCAAATCCAGGTTTTGGAGACGATGCTGCAGAAAAAGTTCAACAAAATTTTATTATTCATTCAATGGAAGAACGAAGAGAATATGTCCAATTAATTGAAGACACTCCAAAACAAGAAGCTGTTTTAAGTCTTTATAAAATGTTCAATCTAAAGATAGTAAGACAAAATAACCAAAAAGGAACAAATTACCTTTCTCCTTCTACATGTGCAATAGCCTTATCTCAACTTGTAGAGATGTGGGACCAACGACCTTGTCATGTTATTTATAGTAATACTTTCCCTAAAGAAATTCAACCAAACACTCTTCTAATGATTAGTGCACCTTTAAATGAAAAAACAATTAGTTGTCTTGATAATACTTTTGTAGGAGGTGTAGTGTGTGGTGTTGATACAAAAGCTATTTATGTCTGTGGAAGAACAGGAAACATGTTACTTCTACTTGACCCTCACTTTGTTCAAAAAGCACACGAAGATGGAGATTTTGATATTGTTGATTATTCTGTAAAACCAAGTGACTTAAGAATGGTTCGTCTAACTGAGTTGGTTTTTGGTAATTGTATATGGGGAATATTGGTCAGAGAAGATAATATAGAGATACTAAAAAATTGGTGTAAAACTTCACTTGGAGTGACTAATGAAGAAGAGATACGTGAGATGGTTTCTGTAGGTAATGAAGAAGGCTTCGAGGTGTTAGATTTTTAAAAAAATGTTATTTATATCATCAACTAGTTTCATAGAAAATTAAAACTATAAAATAATTATACTGAAAAACAAATGAAGGAAATTAAGTTAAATAATAAAAAATATAATATAAAATAGAATTTGTAATAGGAAAACGAAAGAAAACCCTGATTATAATCTTAATTAAATCAGTTGTTGGTTCAAATGTCACACAGAAAGTTTGAAGCACCAAGACACGGATCACTTGCTTTCCACCCAAGAAAGAGAGTTCATAAAGTAAGAGCTACTGTCTCTGCATTCCCAAAAGATAATGCTGCTGAAAAACCACATCTCACTGGATTCCTTGGATTCAAAGCTGGTATGACTCATGTTATTCGTGAAGTTAAGAGAACCAACACTAAACTTCCAAAAGATGGAGTTTTAGAACCAGTCACCATTATTGAAACACCACCAATGGTTGTTGCAGGATTTGTTGGATACAAAAAGACTACTACTGGACTTAAACCAATTACAGCTGTTTTTGCTGAACATATTGCTGATGAATTCAAAAGAAGATATACTAAGAAATGGTACAAAAATACTAAAAATCAATTTGCTGTTCATACCGAAAAATACAATGATGTAAAAGCTAAATCAAAGAGAGAAAGACAAATTAGATTAATTAAGAATAGATGTGATGTTGTTAGAGTAATTGCACATACTCAAATGGCACTTGTTCCATTAAAACAAAAGAAAGCTGAAGTTATGGAAATTCAAATTAATGGAGGATCAATTGCTGAAAAAGTTGACTTTGCTGTCTCACTTCTTGAAAAACAAATTAGTGTTAACTCAGTCTTTGGAACTGATGAATGTATTGATGTGTGCTCAGTTACTAAGGGACATGGATATAATGGTGTTATTAAGAGATTTGGTGTAAGACATCTTCCAAGAAAGACTCACAGAGGATTAAGAAAAGTTGCTTGTGTTGGAGCATGGCATCCAGCTAGAGTTTCATGGACAGTTGCTAGAGCTGGTCAAATGGGATTCTTCAAGAGAACAGAAGTTAACAAAAAGATTTACAGACTTGGATGTGGTGACCTTAAGAACGCTAAAACAGAATTTGATATTACAGAAAAAGGTATTACTCCAATGGGAGGATTCCCACATTACGGAGTTGTTAAGAACGATTTCTTGATGATCAAAGGAACTGTAGCAGGTATTAGAAGAAGAGTTATTTCATTAAGAAAAGCATGCTTCCCATCAACCACTAGAACAGCTCAAGAACAAATTGTTCTTAAATTCATTGATACATCATCTAAATATGGACATTCTAGATTCCAAACAACCACCGAAAAGAAAGCACGTATGGGACCAATGAAGAAAGACCTTGAAAGACAAAGAGCTGAAAAGGTTGAAGAAGGAAAGAAACTTTAAAGATAATTGAATTAATTACTTATTAATATTTTTGTTTTTTATTACTTTTTTCTATAATTAGAAAGATTGTGAAAATAATAAACGTGTTAATCTATTTTTAGAAATACGAAAAATGAAGTAAATAAGACAAAGGTTAGTTACTCAAGAGTCATTCACACGTCAGTCCACATCAAAAATATGAAAGATACTATCATAGCATAATCATATGATGGTATTTAAACTATGAAAGGAAACTTAATAATAATTAGTAATAATAAATGACTTCAATCAGTTCAAATGAACAAGTAATTGAAACACTTCCTCCAGAATGTAATAACCAACAATTATCTAAACCAGAGCCTAAATGGATTCATTTGTCAAGATACCTTGCTAGAACATCACAAAACAAAGTATTTATTGACCCAAGTGGAGTGGGTCATTGGAATTCTATGGTATGGGAACCACCATGTGAGTTATTAGATTGTGGAAAAAGTTATTTACTCAAATTTGAAGTACCTGGTATTGATAAAAAGTCATTGTCTTTACAATATAGCAATAATTGGGTAATTGTTTCAGGAAATAAAAATATGCCAGTTGAAGATGGTGATTTTTGTTTTACTGAGATATTATATGGTCAATTTAGAAGAGAAGTTCCTGTTCCTGTAGATGCAAGTAAAGATGGAATTAAAGCCTATTATCAAGAAGGTATTCTTTATGTTAGATTAACCAAAGTAGAAAATAGTCAATGGGTACATGTAGAAGTTAATTAATTTACTTACAACAATTTTGATTTTTAAATTTATAAAATAATAAATGAAAGTACAAGAGTAAATAAAATAAAGACAAGTAATTAAATATGAAAGGCATATTGTTTAATACTTTTTTATTTTAAAAAATATTTAAAAACATATCTTAATTATGCAAAGATTATTTTATTGGATAACTTATTACTACTTGAAAAGTAATTTTAAATATAATTATAATAGAGTTAAACCAGAAAAAGAATAAATATTAATTTTTCAATGATTCAAAAAATTGGACAACTTCTTCTGAATGGTCTTCTTCCTCTTTATATGTGTCAATAATTTCAATACAAGCGTCTAAATATTCTTCATAAACGTCAGGTTCTTCTGATTTTAATGTTTTATTTTTTAAAATAGATTGAACAATACAACAACAATCACTTCCTAATAATTCAAGACCTTTATCTTCTAACAAATCACAAATTGACCCAATAAATTCAGCAACTTGGATGGTATCATTTAAATATGTAATATAATCAGCTACTTGTTGTAAGATAGCCATTCGTTCTTGTGGGAAATGATTTTCCATTTCGCAAATATCACCTAATTTATCAATAACGACAGATGCAACTTTAGCTTTTGACGCTTCAGGGAATAAAGAGAAAATACGTGCACCAAATCTTAACCCTTTTTCTTTCTTTAATACTTCTAATAAATTTCCTGATAAAGCATCAGCAACAGTTCGACTGATCTTTTCTTTTTTTGTAGCTAAAATTTGAGATACTTCAGGAATCATATATTTTCTATTATCATCATTAACTGCTTCAAGTAGTCTAATGTCATTAAATAAAACAGCTTGAAGTAACATCTCTTCTAAACGAAGGGCTGAATCATATTTATGTAATTCTCCTAAAAACATAAAATCATTTTCTTCTCCACAAGATAATTGTAAAGCACTAAAACAAGTTGTACGAGATGGATCTACACCAGTTAAATCAAATGGATAATGATGACAATGTGGATAATAACTTGTAACACAATCATCAAGTGTTTTATGTAAATGAGAATAAATTGATGCCATTGATCCTATAGGAGCATTTTCATGTTGCATATTAAAAGCAATTTCATAGTATTGTTCTTTATATGCAAAATAGGATTGAACACTTTCAATGGAAGCAAAGAAAGTATTTCTTATTTCTTGATCAGTCATATATTCACATTTAGGTGGTTGGTATTGATGAGAATCAATAAAAAAGTCATGACCTATACCAATAGGTAAAAGGGTAGGATGTCTTTTTCTTAATTCTTCGTTGACTTTTTTGATTTCATTTCTTTTCTCTTGGGTTAGTCCACCTCTATTATATCGTTTAGTAGGGTACTCGTGTCCACCCTTTTCTTTGTCATCTTTTTTCTCTTCTTTTTGGTGATAATTATTATAATATTTTTTTCCTTGTAGTTTGTTGAATCTTCTTCGTTCAAAAAATTCAGGTTCTTCTTTTGGTATTTCTTTTGGGACATATCCAATAGCCCCACTCTCAATTTTTTGTCCCCTTTGACGACGTCCTCCTCTATCTTGTTTGCTCATCTAATAATTCATTCTTTCTTCTTTTTTATTTTTCTTCTTTTTTATTTTTCTTCTTTTTATTTTTCTTCTTTTTCTATATTTAAAATAATTAACTTTATTAATAAAAAATAGTTTTAAAAAAAAAGAAATAAGACAATAACAAAAAACATTCAATCAATAGAAATGAAAGACAAAGAAATCTTGAGATACGTATGAGGTTAAAAGTTTCCTTTAAAATATTCATCTTTAAGACTTAAATCATGTGAAAAATTACAATGCTCTCCTTTTCTACATACTCCCGTCTCAAAGAAATATTTGCATGGTTTAGTACGATATAATTTGTCAACTGAAACAAATTGTTTAGAATTTTGTTGACAAAAAGAATGATTGTTTAAAGACGAAACGTCATGAGAAAAAGTACAACTTCCTCCCTTCTTACAATACCCATTTTGCATAAAGAAAATACAAGGCTTTGTTCCATATTTTAAATGTTTTTGAGGAGAGTCAGGAAGTTCTCTATTATTAAACATTGGAAAGTAAAAAGGATTTGAAAATGGAATATCTGGCATTGAAGCAGTATTAGAACTGACAAGACTATTGGTTTGTTTAATAGGAAGGTTTTCAGTTTGATTTTTCATACTAAAATCAACTGATTTACTATCTCTTTCTCTCTTATTAACTATGTCTGGAGATGAACGGGTAGAATGAGGATCACTTAACGATTCTGGAAAAGAAGAAGAGAGTAAGAAGAAGACATCATCGGAACCAACCTAATATAGTTAATAATATAATTTATACCAATAAGACAAGTTAACCACACTCTGAGACTTTCCAAATGGCAATATAAAAAGAATGAAAAAATAAATTTGAACATTAGTAGAATGAACATAACTCAAAAAAAATATCTACTATTATTCTATTGTATTTATGCCATTGTCATCAAATCTCAACTGCAATACCTGCAAAAAGTGCGACAAACTTGATCGGTTGATAATTCATCTTCTCCAATTACGTCCATTTGAAGTAAGGTATTAACCCCAACATAAGGAGTATCATCATTGTCTAAGAAAGCATCAAAGGCACTAAATTTGTTCATTTGATATAACTAAGTAATATTAATTCTGAATGAATATTTTAAGATTTTTCCTTAAATATTAAAATGTATACGTTGATAATAAATGAGATCTCTTCTTTCCTTTCGTTATTTGTCTGTTTGGTTTAATCCTCAACTCTTTTCATTGAAAACTTGTTATTTTTCAAAGAAAGTTTTTGATTTTTGTTAATCAATTACTATCTTTATATTATAATATTAGTTTTTTCATTTTGTGGTTTTATTTTTATCTAAAAGATGGAACAATTCAGAACTAATAATTTTATGATGTTTCTTATTTTTTCTATTTCTTTCCTTCGTTTTGTTTCTGAAACAGAAAAGTTTAGAAGATTTAAACAGTTTTAATTTATTAGTTCCATTCATATACGTGGTGTCTTATGTTGATATAGTATAAATAGAATTGATTTATTTTTGAAAAATAATCATGAGTTTGATAATGTCTCGAAACTAAAATTGAAGTGGTTATGGGAGATTGTTTTTCAGAGGGAATGAAAAAGCAAGATAGATTGAAAAATTTTGTTGAAGAAAAAACAGTTAATAAAACTTATCAAGGAAGAAGGATTAATAACACAAATTTAGGATTTTTAAAGCAAACAGAAAAAGTAAATGTTATATGAAAGAGGAGAAAGAAAAAAGAGAATAGAAAGAAATGAAATGATCAAATCTCAATATTTAGTGATTGAAAGATGAGTATCCCTCTAGCTAAATCACATAATAGACCTGTTTCTTTTCGCCCTACTCAAATGCAAACTGTTCAGTCAATGGGGAAATCTGAATATGGGTCATTAGATATTACTCCAAGAGGAGAATATTTTAATACTTCTACGCCAACACCAGTCATTGAACCAAACCAAATTAAAGTTATTGATGTTAAGTCAGAATTACAAATTGATTTATCTACATTAAAGTGTGTTATTATTCATATTGTTACTGTTCAATTAGATTTAACAACAAAATATTTATTCAAGAAACCAACAGATATACACGAACTAGATTTATTTATTCATTCAGTTTATGATCCTAATAGTACATTACATCAAAAATTAAATGTGTCAGGTACAAGGGATAAAACATCATTATCAATAATTTCAATGGATTATTTACCAACAGACAACCATCCTAGTTATAAAATATCATTATCTCCTTTAAGTAAAAATTCAACTCCACCACTTGACTCATGGGAGTTGTCAGAAAATCATCCTAAGTCATTTGGTAAGTCAATGTCTCGTTCAGGTTCTGTGGCATTATCTCCAATCTCTTTAACACCACCAAAAGGTGTTATAGTTTCCCCAAAACAAGTTCCTGGTCTTTCATCAACCCCAACTGATAAAATAAATCTTTCTTTCAACTCGTCAACATTAAGAACTTCTCCACAAACTAAATTACTTCTTAAAGACAAACGGGAATATTCTCAACCTATTACAAATTCTTCTTCTAAGTTAAAACAAACATCAATGTTTATAAGTCAAAGTATTATTAAAAATACTTTTAATAATGAAACATGTGAAGCACCTAAAACTCTTACTCCACCTACAGAGACAGAAAAATTATTATCAGAACGAAATGAATGGGAAAAAGAATTACCTCAACTTCCATCAAGAAAAGATGGATATCCATTACGTGATGTTGGTTTAAAACAGTATTTATCAGAAGTTATTGCATTAGAAGGAGCAACTGACATTTGTTATATTTATGAATGGTTTGTAGAAAAAAAACAATCAATTCCATTTATGTCATTAAGGCATCCAAGGGTATGTGGGTATTTAATGAAACAATCATATATTTTTGGAACATGGACAGAAAGATATGTAATTATTAAAGATAATGTATTAGTGTATTTTCCAAGTGATCGATGTATTCAACGATTAGAATTTCCTAGTGATATATTACAATTAATTGGTTCCGAAATAGAATTAAATGAAAATATTATTTCCATTAATTTAATTAATGGGATGTCATATACTTTCCGTGTTGATGAGGGAAATGTTAATGAATGGATGTTAGCATTAAATTATGCACAACAAAAGAAAAGAAGACAAAGAAAATATAGTGAATATAGTGAGACACCAAGAAAGGGGACAGATACTATTAAAGATGATTCTGAAGAAAAACATATAATCAATAAGTTTTATGCATTAAAAGAAGAAGCAAGAAGAATTGGTTTAGTTTATGAAGAAATGAATGATAAAAATTCAGAACAAATGAAAATATTTCAATTATTTAGACAACTAGAACGATTGAGTTATGATGATATTTGTTCTAAAACATTTATTAATCAATATTTACATAAACTACAAGATATTACTACAAATAATGCTTCTGACTTATTAGTTTTTCATTATTTTCAACAGTTCAATGAATTTATTTCTCTAACTGCTGTGGTAAAAAAAATTTTAGAAACACCAGAAACACCAATTATTCAACCAAGAAATAGACAGTCTTCTACAGGAAGAAGAAACCAAGCATCATTGGGAATGTCACCATTAAATTCTCCTAAAACATATGATAAAGCTGGTGTTCGAGTAGCAATTTGTCGTATGTGTGAAAGAGAAATAGAATTTGATGTACTTGCAAAACATACATTTTATTGTAAAATGTGTTTTGAATTATGTTCAAATGAACCTAGTTGTAAGTTAAGGTTACAAATATTAAAAGATCAATTATTAAAACAAAAACAAATACAACAAGGAGGAATTAATTATGATGGAGTTATTGAACTCACTGAAGAACTTTCAAATATTACTAAATTATCAAGTAAAGTATTGGAACAAATGAATAGCGCAATTACTATGCTTGAAGAAATTACAACTCATTCTGTTGATGTGTGTTTATCAGCATTTGCAGGAATGATTTCAAAAATTGTTAAAAGAAGACTTTTGTTAATGAAAAATTATGTTTCTAATCACTCAATTGATATGTGGACATATACTTCATTGTGGGACGGTAACGTTCAAGTTGAAGAGGCATCAAATGGAAGTGTCTCACTAAAAGATTTTGATGTTTTAAATAAGTTTAGCAGTGGAGCATATTCTCGTTTATATCTTGTAAAAAAGAAAACAACAGGAGATATATATGCAATGAAAGTTAGTAGAAAGGCTGATATGGTAAGAAAAAATGTTGTTGACGGGGTATTAGCTGAAAAACAAATTCTTCAAAAATCAGTTAATCAAAGTGTTGTTAAATTATATTATGCATTTCAAGATAAATGCAGTTTATTTCTTGTTATGGAATTTTGTCCAGGAGGAGATTTGGCTTGTTTAATTAGAGAAGTAGGACGATTGTCTGAAGTTACAGTTAAAATATATTCAGCAGAAATAGTTTTAGCTTTAGAATATATTCATTCATTAGGATGTATTCATAGAGACCTTAAACCTGATAATATTCTTATAGATGCAAATGGACATTTAAAACTTACAGACTTTGGATTGTCTGTATTTGGATATAAAAGTGAACAAAATTCTTTTCTGGATTCAAGATTATTATGTACTCCTGATTATGTTGCATCAGAAGTTATTAATGAAAGGTTATATTCTACTGTAAGCGATTATTTTAGTTTAGGCTGTATGATTTATGAAATGCTTGTTGGTGTTCCACCATTCAATGACAAAACACCTGAAGCTATATTTAAACGAATTCGAATGAATGATTATCATTGGCCTACTGAAACAAGTGATGATGAAGACATTATTTCAGATAATGCATATTCTATAGTCAATGCATTGTTATTACCTGAAGAAAAGAAAAGACTTGGGGCAAAAGGAAGTGAAGAGGTTAAAAATCATCCATTTTTTGAAAGAATTCGTTGGAACACATTATTAAGTGAAAGTAGAGAAGATATTTTTGTGCCAAGATTAGATAGTGCATGTGATACAGGATATTTTTCAAGAGAAACTAAAGAATTTTCTCCTGCATTAGGAGAAGATAGTATTGGGTTTGGTAACTTTGATTGTACTTCTGTAAATAGACTGGCTGAAAAAAATATTAGTGTACTAGAAGAAGAAAGAGATGAAATAGATTACGAAAATTCAACAGAATGTACAAGTTCATCAACAACCTCTGATTCAATTAACGAATCAACTTTTATTGCATAAAAACGAATTATAATATTTCATTCATAATTTCATTTGTTTAGTTATAAATTGTTTGATTATAGTTTTATTATAATTTAAATTAAAAAAAAACTTAAAAAAATAAAAGAAAACCTTCACAATGGAAGCACCAATTGATGTACAAAAAATGCTTGATGAAATGAAACTTCTTGAGAGGAACATACAAATGGATATTGAACCAGTTACACAAAAACCATTATTTATAATTAAACCAGAGGAGTCAACAAATATTTCTGTTCAAACAATTGACAATATAATACAGACAACATTATGTGCTGCAGATAGGTTATTCTTAAGAGAAAGAAAAGTTATTCATATTGGACCAAATATTGAAACTCAAGGACTACAAACAGTTGCAAAATTGTTATGTGAAAATGACCCAATTGAACAACTACGATCTATTTTTCCTCCATCTCGTTCTATTAAAGTAATTTTTGATTTAATTCAAGATTTATATAAATTCAGAATTGATAATAATATTATTCAATTAAGTCCAATTCAAGCAGCAACACTTTGTTTAAAATATGTAGAATTAAATTTTAAAGATAATTTTGTTATTCAAAATGATGGAACATATAAAAAAGATGATATAGTTCAATTCCTTAGTCAAACATTAGAAATAGAAAATGGAAGAAAACCAACAACATTAACATTAGCTTTTCATTTATATCGAGCAGGACTTAGAGATGAAGCAATTCAAACATTAGAAGATGAAATGGGAAAAACAAACGAAGCTTTTAGTGAAGCAATTAAAGGAAATATTAATAAATTAAAACAACTCATATTAAGTGATCCAATAGAAAAGTTATTTGGAAGTATTTTTACTAAAAAGGATGTTATTGGTATTGATCCAACAGTTGATGCTTTCATTCATGCTAATGTTGACAATTATATTTGGTATAAAGTTTGTTCGTTTAAATAAATTTTTCTTCAAGTGATATATCACTTATCTCTTTTTAGCTTAGTTCTTCTCAAGATATAATAAAAACATTTAATGAACTTCAACAAATAGTTCCACCTGTATTATTAAGAAATCCAGATGATACTACTTTCTTCTTTTTATTATTACTTCAACAATATGAACAAGCAGTTTCTACTCAAATTGAAAGAGGAACTCCATTTGATGTAATTGGATATACTGTTCTTGTTTTATTACGTAAAATAAATTTCTTGGATGAACGATTTGTACTTCATTATTTACACTCTATCTTATTAAGTGTAACTGGATGTTATCAATTACTTGATTCTATTAATGATAAAGATACTGCTATGATTCTTTCTGATGTTATAGAAAAACCTGGTGCTGAAGAATCATTATTACAATATGCTAGTTCAAGACCTCAGATGGCTCAAATACTTGCTCCTCTTGTTCGTTCTAAGTTACTTTATGCTCATTTGATGATAATTGCTGGTCAAAAACAAATGGCTCATGTTGCTATTCAAGAACTTCTTGATTCTTATTTAATGAATGGAGAAAATATTGATGAACTAATTCAAGTAAATAATCTAATAGAACCAACTGATGAATATTTCAAAAATGTGTATGACATATTACACACCAGTGATTGTAAAGAAGTTGTTAATAAAGCAATTCATTACCAGTTCATTCCTTCCAGAGATGATTTTAGTGAATTACAAAATATAGTTAATAAATGGGACATTAGCAATGAACATAATAGCATTAAAACAGGAACACGGACATTTGTTCTTTCATTTATCTTTAGAAATATTATTCAATCAATTTCAATCAATTCATTTGATTCATCTCAATACAAATTGATTGGAAAATATTTTGTTGCAATGATTGCATTATTAAAGGATTGTGCTGATGATACTTTTATGGAACTTATATCTGGATATAAATCATATCTTCTCAATTGACTGAACTTTTTTTTATAAACTTTAATTTATTGTTTGTCAATTTCAATTACTTGAAAAAATAACTATTCAATTAGTAAAAAAAGAATAAAATACACAACACAAGAAGCATTGATGACATTTCAGATGAACAAGTTTTTTGAATTTGAAAATTATATTCTTGTTTTGAAAAAGAGTCAATATTAGGACATGTTGGTGTTTGATAACAAAAATAAGTTTGGTTTGTTCTATCTGATTCATTAATCAAACGATTATATGGACAAAATTTTATTTCTGTTTTTGATCTCCAATCATAATCAAATCCATTAAGACTATCAACAATTAATTTTTGTTCTTCACTATTAAACTCATTGAACGAATCACATTGATATCCAATTTTAGTATCTAAAACATACTTTCTTACTCTATCAATGGTAGGAGATGGATAATAATTAGGATCTCCATCTCCTATATATGAACGAGGAATTGCTCCTGGTAAAAATACAGCTGTAAATGTCCATGCATGACGTAGAGGAAAGAGAGTATCAATTAAATGAACATCTACATAATATGGTTTAACTATAGCAACACCACTTGGATAAAAAGTACCATAATCAACATCTCTTAATTTTACAAATGGAAATTGTGTTCCAACTGGAAGAGCATTCATTCTATATTTTAATATATGAATGAATTTTTGCATTGTTTGGATTATTTGTTCTTTATTTCCTCGATATTGAAGATAATGTCCATCAAATTCACAAGCAAATTCTTTCATCCAATCACTTCTTCCCATATTATCTTCAGAAGAGTCTAACATATGTAATTGAAAACTATTAAAATGTTGTCTCACTCGATTTCTTAATAAACTAATAGATTCATGTAATGTTTTCTTTGATTGATATA